AGTTCGAAAAAAAAAACTCACCAGGACAATAGATGGCCAATAGCTTTTGCACATACCACGATACATGAACGCACACACACATAAACGCATACATTAGCAGCCACTCAAACGCACCAGAGTTGGCATTGTTTCCGCCAGTGTTGGCTAATGGATTTTTGATTTGTGTATCTTCGCCAGTTAATGGTGAATGGTCCATATGTCCTGCAACAGACACACACACACACACATACACACACACACACACACACACACATACACACACACACACACACACACACACACACACAACCACCCACAATATTCATACAGAGTCAAATATTTTTGTATGCATGTGTGACTTTATTGTGCACCTGTGTGTGTGAGTGGTTGCATTTTTTATCGTTTATGTAAACAAGCAATCAACAGTCGTAACATTTGACACTGACACTTATTGTTTTTGTTGTTGTTGCTATTGTTTGGCTGATTGCTATATGAACTGAAAATTGTGGCCCAGTGTTGCGTCAACAGCATTGCGGTCAAAGCGGAGCAGCTGCTTGTGGCAATATTTGCATTTATGATGGATTTATGAGCTTGTAACATTTGGTCACCTCAACTTTTTTGTTGTGTTTTCTTCCTGTGTATGAGAGTGATACGAAATAAATTACTTTTTAAGTGCTAATAAGATGTATCGTTGTATAGAAAAAGAAGCTGGAAGCTACAATCTTCTCAAAAAGAGAGAAAAAGCAAAAATTTCGACGGCTGAGTGGAAGATCGACCTAAATATCTCGGCAGCCGGTTCGAAAACGCCATATCGAGAAGATTGTTGAAGAATGATCTATTTCAGAATTTTGTTGAAGAACGCCCTAACTCAGAAAATGGTTCAAGAACGTCCTACTTCAATGTAAATTCCATATATCGGCAGCTGAGATATGGCGTTTTTGAACCATTTGCCGACAAAGGGCGTTCTTCAGCTAAATTTTGAAGTAGGGTGTTCTTCAGCCAACTCAGCCGTCGATGTGTAATTTCTTCTGGATTGCAACTGTATCCGGCCTTGACCTGTGTCATCCGATTGCACCAGAAAATTCCGAATAAAGCCAAGTCCTTCTCGAACTGGTCTTTCTATCGCAGATGAGGCCTTACTCTTTTTCTGCTACCGCAAGTGGGTACCATATTAGATACTTTTGTATCCTCTGGCGCGCGACTACACATAATCTTTCTTTCGAACAGAGCGATTGTTGAGACTCGCTTGCATTTTCTCTACTGGTTTCAGTGTCATTCATTAGCCTAGATTTAGTAATCGTAGAGTTTCTCAGAGTACATCCATCTTGGATCCGTCGGTGTATAGAAATATAGCCCCTTCTCCATTCCCTATGGATGAGGTCTTTAAACGCAACGTCGTTATCTTAAGTCGGGGCGTAGGTGCACATAAACGATATGTTGAAGAATCTCGATAAATTCGTTCGCCGGGGTGAACGATTGTACTCGGTGACGGGTCTCCCTGGAATTCTTGAGAACATCAGCCAAGACGACTTCCGCATTAAGGGTTCGGACATACCAGCGGCATGCTTTCAAATAAGAGTCATTTAAATGTCATCAAAAGAAAGGGTGTCTCGTACAAGGAAATTTGGAATTTATCAATAGAGGTTCTTCCAAGTCCAGTGCACAACAAGGTTTTAAGGATGCTAATTCATATAGTAAGTATGTAACTTCCTATAGGCACTGCTGACTTCAGAGGGCCTCACTACAGCCGAATAATTAGGAGTTGCTCCAAGGAATCTTCTTCTCCTCCTGTCGTAACCCAATGCTCCTTACAGCATATTCGCCGTCATAATTCGGAGCATTTGGGTCTTACTCTGGATGTGATGTTGAGACGGCATGAGAAGGCATTCCGTGGCTGTCCGGTATGTTGTCTTGTGGCATGTCTGATTCTACGTCCACTGCGTCATACTTGTTCCCGGCGACCACACAGGGCCTGCATTATTTAGAGCCAGCCGGCGAATTCCTTAGTATATTGCCATCAACGTAGGCAGCACCGCTCATCCCACTCGCCAACTTTGCTTCCGGCGAACACCGCACCTATATCAACTTTAACAGAGCCGATTGGAACGGCTTCGCATAAGTTACTAAGAGCACCTTCGCCGCCCTATCCACATTATGCCGGCAAACGCCAATTCTACAAAGTTGTCACTGACGCAACAGCTTGCTTCATTCCTGCTGGATACATTGCTGAAACGCTCCCGAATTTCCCAGCCGAAGCGATAGATTTAGCGAATAACCGTAACCACCTTTGCCAGTCTGATGGCGTGAATCCACATATTAGGTATCCCAATGGTGAGGTTCGGCAAATGGTAAATTAATATAAGCGGAAAAAGGGGGAAGAGAACCTGAACACCTGCAACTTCGCCTCTGGTGTGAGCAAGATTTCTTTCAATCGTAAGGCCACTGTCCAACCCGACGAAGCACGATGACAGAATGGAAATTTCATTCGGTAATCGTGCCTCGTCGAACCCGGAACGATACGCGAGCTACTTCAGCCGACAATTCACTCTGCTTCCTACGGTGGACAATCGCAAACGTCGAGTGACCCACGACAGTCGGGTCTACGTAACCGGAACGACCCAGATTTATATCTGGCCAAGGACTGTCACTCCAGCAACACTCCCCAAAAAGTCTTTGGGGAGTTTGTATGCTGTTACAACAACAACAGTGACCAGAAGGCTTTACAAATTGTGAAAACCAAGAGCGCCACTAGCTTTTACCAGCGATGAAGTCCAGGGAAGGCGAAAGTCTCGAAACCCTCCGACGGAATATCCATACCTCACCAAGGTTCTCAACATCCCATCATTCTCGGCGTGTGGAAATCGGGGAGCTAGGGAAGCCAGCAAGCAAAGGAGAGTATTATTAGCACTTAACGCCACCCCTGTGCGAGAGCAGGGCTACGAGTACCCAGCCAACCCTTTTTACCACCTGGACTGAAGACCTCAGCCTACAACTGGGTATTCACATCAACGACGAACCAATACCGACGGTGAAGAACCCTGAAATTCGCGGAGTAACCTTCGGAAACTTACTCTCTTCCTTAATAGAAGAAATTTGGAAAATTCAACTTTCAAGCTGACTTCGTCTCTGCTCCTCTAATGAAATATTTTAATTCGTCTTCAACTTTATTTTAATTTTCAATGTGTTCACATTAACCGGTGGATTATGTAGTATGTATGTATATAGGTGCTAATTATTCAACGTTTACTTTTTTCGAACATTTTACGAGTTATTGGCAAGTAAATTGCTATTGAGCTTTTATCATTTTTTGTATAATATTCGTTGATTAATTTGCATAATTTTGTTTATCCCTACAAAAAAACGTGAATGTCTATTCGTATAAATGTATATGTATACAAATAAAATATCAGCAATCTTTTTAGTGTTTTCGTTTTTTTTTTGTTTGTTGGTGTAAATATCAGCAAATATAATTTTGTGTCGTTTTGGTTATAATAATTGTTTTTGTTTAGTTAGTGTCTGTATGTAAGTATGTGCAAGTCTTCGCTGCGAGGAGTGTACAGTTATTGCAGTTGGCTATTTTATGAAAGTAATCTATTAATTGTTTTTGTGTAATTTTTATTTTATTATATGTAAATATCATAAGCACAGTGTCTCTGTTTCATAATTGCTCAGCTCAAAACGTAAACTACACAGCTAAAAACTACGTTCATCTACATACACTTCCATGCATATATGTATATATGTAAGTAATTAGTGGACTAATAATGCTTCTTAAATATTTTATATATCGACCCCTCATTACGATATTATCGTAAGCGATGTATTCAGCCTCATTTCGAGAGTCGTGTCGAACGCAAGTCGAAAATTGCATGTTATTGCGTAAAATTTCGACTCGACTAGTGTATTAAAATGGAAAAACTTGGCAGCACTGCATAATTTTCGGCGATTTTCGTCGTTTACTTATTTCAGCACGACAGTAGACAATGCCAATGTTGTCGTGTCGTACAATTTAGCCTAATTTTCGACTTAGGCAATGAGGCTGATTATCATTACATATGTACGTATGTACATATTTTTAATGTTAAAGCGTTTTTGAAAAACAAATTGATTTTATCGACTGTTGTTAATTTTTAAGGCGATTTGCCATTTCTTTGAATCCCCAAAAAAGTTAAAATGCCCTCACGCTTAGCAATTACATATCACAAATTTTTCTATGAAATTCGCTGTCAAATTGAGAGGGAAATCCTTTTTGGGTATTCATATGGGAAAGTAGAACTTCTAATTTCTATTCGAGAATAGATAAAATATGTATGATGAAACTGATTCAAGGGAATGACAATTTACTTGTAGATTGAGTAATCAATTAAAAAATTAAAAATAATATTACCTTATGTTAAGTAAAAAAAAAATAAAAAAAACTTAACAAATAAATAAAAATTAAAAAATATTTTTATTAATCAGAATTCTTTATTGCAAATTTATTTACTCAACATACATTTTACTAAAATATCGCCAAATTTTTAAAATACTGTAAGTTGCAGAGAACACATAACTAAAAAAGAAAAACTAACTATGTACCCATTTAAAATTTTATGTAATTTAATTACAAAAGAATAGATTTATTAACAAATGTAAACGCACTATACAAGCATGCATATCTATGAGCAGAAATACAAAATATTTCGGCACAAAAAAAAAACGCTAAAACATTCTTCTTACATTTATTTCAATCAATGGAGTTCGACAGAAACAAGTAGAATAAAAAATAAATCAAGTATTCGTACAATGTTAGCCGTAAAACGTTTATTTAGACGAAAAAGTACCGAAATTACTAGTTTTTTTAGTCACTCGAAAAAATTATAATTGTTTTATTTTTTTAATAACTTAATATAAGAGGCAATTGACGTTAGCGGCAGCATGCCGTATATATCTGTTGCAACTATTTTGTAATTTTTGAAATTTTACGATTTTTTTTTTTAACATTAATAAGCTGGAAAAGTATCGATACTATCGAAAATGTCGACACTATCGATAGTTTTGATTAAAAAAGTCCAAAAATTAAACATAACAATTTTTATTGAAAATGAGATCAGAATTGCTAAAATAAGTATGTCGACATTTTTGTTAAGGAACAAAAGTTTATCAACGATTTTTGGATTCAAGCAGCATCTGCGGTCTGAAATATGTATGTTACTGCATAATGCATGTATGAATAAAAACTATCGATACTGCTTACAAAACCATTGATGTTTTCGATAGTCACAAACCATCGATACTATCGATAGTGCCCTCGATAGTTTTACAGCGGTAGTATATGAGTGGTTAGTTTTGCTTTTTCGCGGTGGAATTTTCTAAGTAAAATATGGGCAATGACAAATCAAAATTATATTTACAAATTAAAAAAGTGCTTTATCATTAAGTAATTATGTTTAACGCGACAACGCTTACTACGAAACGAACGCAACAAGTGCGCAATCACATAAATATTTATTTGCATATGAGGCCATGAAAACCAGAGTACCAATTTTAAATAATAATTAAATCATTAAAGACAACCGAATTAATGGCTTTTATAATATGTGTGGCAAAATGTAGCAGTAGAAAAACTAAACGCGGGTTATTCTGGTTATACCCAATTCGTTTGCGGATAGTTCTCTACTTTTTTTTGCAAACATTTAGTTTGGCTACTACGGCTATTATGGAAACATAAAGAAATGTCATGCATAGTTTATATATATGCATAAAAATCTATATAAATATGCTTGACTACTATAAAATTCCTCAAACAATAATATTTCTTGCAAACACGCTGGCCAAATAACATAAAATCATATCGCATAATTGGTCCATTTCAAAACCTATTCTGTGTTAAATGTTATTAGGAGGAGTTTTGCTTGATTTGAGTAGGACGTGTTTTGTGTTAGTACTTTACACGATGTTCTTTTTAATAAAAATATTTCCCTTTTTCTTCTTTCTCTTTATGGTTTTCTTAAACAACTTAAAATAAATCCCTTTTTATTCGCGATGCTCTTTACAAAGCAATCAGCCTGGTCTTGCATTGGTGCTCTGCCCAAAGTTCTTCAAGCTGCGCACGATTACTTTGCCTTTCCGATGGCGGTGTGTTATCTGCTGATGCGTTTGTCGGGGATAGTACGCCTGTCTGCAAAGAAACGATACGAGTATTAAAAATGTTCAGTTCATCAATAATATAGCGACACTACAAACCTTCGTTGCTATCTTACGTGGATCGAGATTTAAGCCAATATTTTGCATACCTTTTGCCAATTTCGATAAAGGACTCACCACCATTGTCCGCGATAAGGGACTCGCCAATTGTTTCAATTTAATAGTATCACTTGGTGCACTACCTAGTGGCAGGTTGAGTTCTATGGCTGCTTCACTGTTTGTATGAAATCAAATGAATATTGCAGGTTGTAATCTTTATTTCATTTGATATCTTTAATGTTTGTCTTTTATAACATCTTTAATGAGCAAAGATTGTTTGCAAAATATTTATGTAATTGCTACAATGGTTCATAAGGCACAAATCGCAATTGTTTTACTTAATGAGTAAAGCCATGGTGTACATATAATTCATGCCAAAGCCTAAATTATTTTAGGATATATCTAAATTAGGTAACTTTTTTTTATCTAAATAAAACCAAGAGTAGTACTAAACGATATCATATTCCCCTTGCAAATTGAGCAATCAATGAATACACATATGTATATAACCATACATAAAAGATTATACATAGGATAACTACAACAGACTTCGAGATTCGATTAGAACAATAAATTTAGCTGATAAATGTGTTGTCTTAACACTAAAGGCAAGAAACGTTCTTATAAAAAAAAAAATACAAAGATATGATTATACAAATATACATATACCAACTCAAAGCTTCCATCTAGCCACCAACAATGGTTATATTCATGCTCATCAACAATAAAATACCGACCTGGTACGCTCTGCTGGTCCATCGAGCTGTTGTTCCTCACCGTCGGCTTGTACGCATATTTGCGGATTTGGCGTAATCGGTCGTACAGGTGGTGCGTTCTCTAGCAGCCCGGAGGGCATTGTGACATGGTCGGTAACCGACGATATTGAAATAGTATAAACATCTTCACTATTTTTAGCCATGCTATCTTTTTGCATTAAACAATCCATATTTTCTGCTGACGGTTGTTCGCCATCTTGCGTGTTGCCCATTACAATACCAACGGAAGGCAAGAAGTCATTTTCATTGAATCCTGACTTTCCAGCTGCTGCGTTGGTTGCGGCGATTGCCAAGTCTACATCCGAATCCAGTTCGGGTTCATAAATGCTGCTGTCATTCTCATCGGTATCGGTACTACTATGTGAATTGCTTTGGGTTCGTCCAACCGAAAACACTGCTTTTTCAGCTTCCACCGCTTGATCGATTGATGTTTGTGATTGCCGCATAACCTGTGGATTTATTTTGGCTAATTCATTCGTTTGCTTTTGTGCGTTTGAATTTATATTGGAATTTTTATTTTTATTTGGATTGAGAGACTGTCCCAATTTGGAGAATTGGCCAGCAACATTAGATATTGCTTTTGAACTAAATTGCACGAGTTGGGATTCGGAGAGATTTCGCGGCATACCCTAAAATATATGATGTTATGTGTGTTAGAAGGGAATATTGTAATACACTTGCCTTTGGTACGTCAAGCAATGGATTTCTACTTTTGCGCCGCTGCAATACGCCGCCGGTTATGTAGCGTACATCGGTTTTGCCGATATTATCTAATGCTATGCGAAACATCTCAACGATGGCCATGAGAGATTCTGTAAATAGTAAAAAGAGCCGAATTAGGTAATCGAAAGTTCAAGTATTTTCATATAATAAAATTGTGTGTGTAAGTCTTGCTAATCTGGCCTATCATTCTTACCCATAACTTCCTCCTGTGTCTTGATCACATAAACCATATTATTGAAGAAGCGTATGTTGGCCGAACGAAACATATGGAAATAGCCGTCCACACCTTCCACACTGTAGTTCAGGCGCAAGCAGAGCAGCGCTGGCGCTGAGCCTTGAAACAATTTGGTCTGCTGATACATGCCTAACTCGATCAGCGTAATATTTTGCAACTGAACCTTTTCGAAACGTACAATTTTATCCAAATGTGAGTCATATTCGGCAACAATGTAGCAATCGTCTGTGAGCAGCAGAACCGTGTCAACGTCCGTTTCATTAAGATCACCCGTACTAGGGGTAAGAGTTCCAATATTAGCAAACCAAAATAAAAAAATATGTATAAAGATTTTATTAATATATATGTACTCACGTCGGATCGGCATCGATGAGGCCCCATGAGCCCACTGGATATTGTGCTGAACCTAGCAGCAAGCGCCGACAATCCTCCACCAACAGTTTGGCTTGTTCGGCACTTTCCAATGCATCTGTTTCATCGGGTGCCGCCTGTCCGCCCAACGCGTTCAGTGACTCTGCAGAAACTTGATTTCCGAGCATTAGATCGATGGTGGCTTGACGATAAGAATCTTTAAAACGCGCGAGATAATAACTGAAATTCAATCACAAGTAAAAAAAGCATTTTACAAATGAGTAAGGTAAGTGTGTAAAGTGTATGCGCGCAAAAAGAGGAAAAATCGAATACAAAGCGCATGCAATCAAGGGGTGAATTTGTGCTTTAAAATTATAACAAAAAAATATAAAAATGGAAAGGCAGTAAACTAAACTCCAAATAAAAATCAAAACAAAAATACCTTTTCAAACGATAGTAGTAAGACAATGGAAACAAAAGGAGCAACAAAGTTAAATAAAGAGCGAGTTTTCGACTTCTTTAGTGGCTTATCGCGAGCGGCGCACCTTGCGTTTACGATATTTTCCAGAAAATGTAATTCCGGACCGAGCACACCGGCGTGATAGTAACCGCGTGTAGGCGCCGGTGTAGACGGGCAGAGAATGTGTAGTATTGTCTTCATAACTTCATCCTCTTTCAATTGATTGGCCTCGACCAGCTTGCCTTGCATTAAATCAATTATGCATTGCCGGAAGGAATCAGCGAAATTTTGTATGAGGAAACTACGAAGAGCGAATGTTTAAAGATATTTGTTTAGAAATTACGCACTGAGTTGTTGTTTTTTATATTGGCTTAGTGTAACGATTTCTTTGTTTAAAGTAGAGAAGTGTGTTATAAATGCACAAACTGTTAATAAGAAATTTAATTAAAATAACATAATGAAAAAAAAAACAAAAAAAACCACATAACTGTGACAGAGTGCGACACATTTTTTTTTTCGAGATAGAGAGAGAGAAGAGAGAGGAAGTGTTATGGTACTCGAGTTGGCAGATGGCAAACAGCATAAATTACAAATAAAAAGTTCCAAGTTCCGCCCGTAAATTACTTAAACTAAAAAAAAACTTCAAAGTAAACTAGCAACTTATTACGGGAATCTTAAATTTAAAAGGCATAACAAACAAAAAACTTAACTGACCGATTTGCTGAATTCATGCCGTCTTTCATCATACCGCTTATCTTCCGTTCACCGGTTCGCGTATAATCGCCCTGTAAACACAAGAAAATAAAATTTAATAAAATATCAAGGACAGAAAATATTTTCTAAAACCTTCAGCGCATTTGTGCCCGCATACTGTCGACTAATTATATCGCCATTGTTTGCCCACAATATCATGAACGGCGATTTCAATTGCTCTGGAATGGGTGAGTATGGTGGTGATAAACCCAATTTAACTAGCTGTGATTCCAGCACAGCCTTGCCTATTGCTGTCTCTACGACATTTGTGCGATCCAAGCAGTCCATACAATTAACACGAAATACTGATTTTTGATTACATATAACACCACGCTGATCACGCCAATGAAAACCCATAGCGCCTGCTTCGGGTGCAAGCGCTTCAACAAGAGCGGAAACATTTTCAAAACGCATACCGCGACTGCAATTGATAGCAAAAAAATTATAAATCAGGAGTAATACGAGGCTTATTAGATGTGCAACTACTCACCAGTAATCATGGAAATCGAAAGTAACATATATTAAGCGATCATTATTGTATTTTATCACATGTCTTGCGTAAGCATCACCAATAAGTTTCTCCTTGCCGCTTTGCTCGACCAAATTGACAATACAAACACCATCGTATAGCGATATTTCTTTGGTAAAATGTAGTTCGAATGCCTCCTGCGTTTCTTGCTCGCCTATAACGAGATAGACGAATGGAGTTGATATTTTCAAACAATCACACTTGCTGCTTACCCCTGTCCAGGCGTGGTGGTGGCCTATATTTATAGCCGGGTTGACTCCAATAGACTGGCACCGAACCACGAATTTGCGTAAAACTCAAGTGATGATGACGAAATGACAATATTTGCTCCGTTTCAACGTAATTAGCGCAGTCCCCCTGTTCATCAACGCCCCTTCGCTTATATCTGCAAACAAAAAAGGAAAAAAAGAAAAATATCTTACAGCTTTATTACACTCAACTCAAGTAAAAGCCAACATCTAAACACTTACCTCGTGCCCGCGCGATATCGTGACCGACGCGACACTAGCGCCAATGTTAAGCATTCATTACCTATCACGCAAGGTTCGACTTGCACGAATCCTTGTATAATCGGCAATACCCACGTATTGTCCTATAACAAAGAAAATTTCAAGCAATTACATATTATTAATGCAGTAATGAACGGATGCCAACTAGGAAAGTTTATATACTTTGGAACGAATTTCCAGCATTCCTTGTCAATTTTGTTTTGGAGACATATCATAATTTAAATGGGATCTCCGAAATTCGTTACAAATAACATCATACTCTTGCCCGGTCGGAAGCATCAACAATAAAAAACAAGCTTACTTTAAGTTTCAAAATATCGGCAATCATATGCATATTCCAAAAGAAACGCTCATCGTATTGCCGCTTTTGGTCGCCAGCACCACTCTGCCGCTGCAAATTGTTGGTGATGTCGCTGTCGAAACTAAAGTAAAAGCTATCCGTTTCATCAAAAATCTTATGCAGCTCCTCTGTAATGCGCTTCGCAATGCGCAACGGATCACGTATGCCCACAGAAGACTTCATTTGATTGGAAGCCAACGCGGCGGCTTGCTGGGTGGTATTCTTAATAGTGCTGCCGGCAATTTTGACAGCACCCCAAGTTTTATTCATTAGTTGAGCACCCTCAAAAAGTTTTGTCTTGGCGACAGGGGTGTTGCCGGTGCTGCTTGTAGTAGAAGCATTCGACGAGGGTGAATGTGTGGGTGTGCTGTTGGCGCTCCTGTAAAAAAATATGAAATTTTGAAAAGTTTTAACTATTTTCTGATTTAGTAAGAATAATATGTCCCTTAATTACTTGCCTCGAGTGCCGGGTGCAGGAAGTTAATACTGTATCTGGTTCATCAGCGCTTAATATGCAAATCGATTTGATTTTATACACAAGACTGGGTGCATGCAGAACGCCAACGGGTGTAGCTTCCTTCACTATCACCAAATGCGGTTCGTATACATTTGGCAAACTAATAACGCCCACAATGCCATGTGAAATACCAATACATTCAATATCATCCACAGAAGAGAGGTCCCAACCTGAGAAGATAAAAGCGAAATTCATCAAAACTGATAAAATAAAATGGAATATGTAAATTCAAACACATTTAAAATAAAAGCTTGTAAACACGTTATTTATGACGTAGTTTCAACGCGTTTTCAGTACCTAAACTACCAGCCGTGATCGTACTGCTCGTATCGTGTACCGAATTACGAAACTAGCACTACGTTCACGGCCGTTATAATCCGAAATATGTATTTTCACGTGACGAGTTGCTCTCTCACGACTGTTACGATTCGAGCCCAGATTTTGTTGTGTATCATACTACGAATAATAATCTTAGAAATTCTATACCAGTATGCACAAACACAATCACTATGTGTTCATTACAATTTTGGCGGCTGTTAATTTTACTTTACTTTATGTTACGCCTATTTGTTTATTTATTTTTCTTTTTAACCAGTCGCTTTTGAGGCGTTAACCAGTTGTCGCCTTTAATTAAAGAGGTTTACCTTTGTTGTTGCTATATGTATAGTTATTACTACGTAAATAATTAGGTTGAAATTGAAAGTGTAAATTTAACATTTAGGAGAGAGAAGTTTGCACAAGAAGCACATTCACTCACCCCATACAGGCAAAGCACAATTTTTGTGCCATTAGCCTGCCTGCAGCGAATCAAGGGCAATGTATACAATGATAACCCAAGCACACATGCACGTACTCACTTGCTTAAGAGCACTTAAATGCATATGCCACGAGCAACAAAAGCATGTCGCTTAGATGTGGATAATGGCTAATGGAGAACATAAATTGGTCATAACGATTTTTGCAAATCT